CTCCTCGAAGCTGGAAGGTAGTGAAGGAAACCCCGCTCGATCCTAATATACCCATGGTACGGATAATGCGGTAGCTCTCATCTAGAAATCCCAGAGCATCCTCTGATGCTAGACCGCTGAATACAGGAGGCTTGTACCTCTTGAAAGCCTCAGCTGCTCCTCCTAGGAAGCCGCTACCCTGTCCTCGGGCTGAACTGGCACTACAGGCATTACATGAATAATCTCAGGGACCTGCTCAACATGCACTCGCTGCTCAGGGGTGCGGGCGACGGGAGTCTGTGCTCCTCCCCCGGCCTGAGATGTGGCTGCAGCAAGGGGAAACAATCCTGCCTGAGCCAAAGTGGTGTACATGCTCATGAACTGTGCCAAAGTCTCCTGAAGAGTTGGAGTAGTTGTAGCAGTAGGCGTGTCAGGTGTCTGGACTCCGGCTGGAACTGCTGGTGGTACCTCGGCGGCAGCTCGCGCAGGTGTTCTTGCTGCACCACATGCGCGTCCTCGGCTTCTACCCCGGCCCCGGCCTCTGACGGCTGCAGTAGGGGGCGAGGGTGCCTGATCATCTCGTGTAGCACGTGTCCTCACCATCTGTGAGAGAATAGAAGACAGAGGTTTAGAATTGTGATGTCAAAAATATCGCACGACAAGGAAATCGAATGAAGTAAAATTTTCCTAACAGTTACATAGCCTCTCGTAGATGCGAGACTCTAATAAACCAGCTTGTGATCCATGACTCCTATGAACCTAGAGCTCTGATACCAACTTGTCACGACCCTGATTCGCCCTCCGTGAACCATCGTGACGGCACCTAGTCTCTACGACTAGGTAAGCCTAAATTGCGGAAGAAAATCAAAATTTGCGAAAGTAAACAATTCAAAACTGAAATAAAGCAGTAGCAGTGTTTAAATGTGCCGCTCGGCATACACCATGTTTAACTCTCAATACCAAACATGAATCCAAGATCCGGAAACCCATGAATTACAAGCTATGACAAATAATACACAGCTCTAACTCCGGAATGTCTAAATAAGAACAGAAAAGTACAAGGGCTAAATACTAAAGGCAGGAATAGAAAGGGACTCCTTGGTCTGCGGACGCGGCAGATGTACCTCGGAGTCTCTAAAGCAGTCGCCTCCCTCAACGATAGTAGGCCTGATCAGCGGTACCTGGATCTGCACATGAAAAAACATGCACAGAAGGGGCATGAGTACACCACAGCGGTACTCAGTAAGTGTCAAGCCTAACCTCGGTTGGGTAGTGACGAGGAAGGTCAAGGCCCTACTGAGATTAAATAAGATATAGGGGTTAACAGTGTGGAATAAAACAGTATAAATAAGTACAACAACAAGAAATAACATAGGATTGAAAGAACAACAACAACTAGAACAGAGTCAGAATAAATCACCGAATGGAAATACAGCTCAACACAGAGATAACAATCGAGCATCTTCCAGGATACCGTCCTGTAGTCCCAATCACAACTGTCCCGTGGATCTCCCGGGATACCGTCCCGTAGTCCATTATATATATGTCAGAAGGATCTCCCGGGATCCCGTCTCGTAGTCCAACTATCAGTGTGCGAGGGATCTATCGGGAATCTAACCCGCAGTCCCAAATGTAAATACCCAGTACTGAGGGAATCTACCTGGTGCATTCCCGTAGTTCTATATAACTGTGCAGGGGGATCTATCGGGAATCTAACCCGCAGTCCCAAGGTAAACATACAAGGGGGAGCTACCGGAATCCCACATCCGTAGTCCCAAAATAAATACACAGCAGCAGCAGCAGGAAGATATTCAAAAATGGTAATATTTCATATTAAGACAACAAGTGATTCTAGCCTAGCAGCTGCACAGAATTCAAGTAAGGCAGGTTGAACAAATAAAACAATTAAGTCACTTAGGCATGCTTTCCTAAGCTAACAACATGCTTCATATTGCAAGTAATAGAAACAGGAAAAGAAACATGCTAGTAATTACTTAAAGAAAACTGGATTTCCAACAATTTGCACAAGTACGCACTCGTCACCTCACGTACAAGGCATTTTAATTACCAAATATATCAATCCTAAGGGGAAGGTCCCCCACACAAGGTTAGACAAGTCACTTACCTCGAACCGGCTCAAAGTCAACCTGAAACCACGCTCTTGCCACGAGTACTCGACTCCAAATGGCCCAAATCTATTCAATTTAATTTGATAATGTAAATAACACTTCAAGCAACTGATTCTACGATTAAATTCAAAGCTAATACGTGAAATTATGTAAAATGACCAAAACTCCCCTCGGGCCCACATCTCGGAATCGGGTGAAATTTACATTTTCAGAAACCTCGTACACTCACGAGTCTATACATAACAAGAACACTGAAATTGGAGTCCAAATGACCACTTAAATCCTCATTTAAAGGCCTCTTAAACTCAAGCACTAATTAACCATTTTTCCTAAATTTCTCCATACTAATTAGGTCTTTAATCACATAAAAACGAGTTATAAAGTCAAGGACATTACCTCCAAGTGATTCCCCTTTGTTTTCCTCAAAAATCTTTCTCAAAAGCTTCAAACCCGGATGAAAATGGTGAAAGAATCCCTAAATTTCGCGAAGGCAACTATTTATATGTTCTGGCCAGTGATTTCCACATCTGCGGCCCTGTGCGGTCCCGCTTCTGCGAAACAAATGTCGTATCTGCAACTTTCACTTAAGGGCCCAATTCTCGCATCTACGAAACATTAACCGCAGGAGCGGTTCCGATTCTGCGAACCTTTAATCGCATCTGCGGCGCCGCATCTGCGGCGCCGCATCTGCGGTCCCCAAATCGCAGATGCGAAAATACCAGAAGACCAGCTGCTGCAGCAACTTCAATTCCAAAATTTCCTCCGTTAACCATCCGAATTCATCCCGAGGCCTCCGGGACCTCAACCAAAGGCACCAACAAGTCACAAACCACTATCCAAACTTGTACCAATCCTTAAAACACCTAAAACAACATCGAAACCTCGAATTAACCATGGATTTAAGCCTAAGAACTCCAAATTTCTCAAAATACGCTTTCGATCAAAAAGTCTGCCAAACCTCGTCCGAATGACCTGAAATTTTGTGCACACGTCCAAATGATACAACGGAACTACTGCAACTCTCGGAATTCCATTCCGACCCTCAGATCAAAATCTCACTATCGGACCGGAAACTTCAAAAATTCAACTTTCGGCATTTCAAGCCTAAATTAGCTATGGACCTCCAAAACACACTCCGAACACGCTCCTAACCCCAAAATCACCCAACGGAGCTAACGGAACTATCGGATTTCCAATCCGAGGCCATCTTCACACTGTTCCGACTACGGTCAACTTTCCAACACTTAAGCTCTCATTTAGGGACTAAGTGTCCCAAAAACTCTCTGAAACTTGAAACCGAACATCCTGGCAAATCAAAATAGCAGAAATTAATTTGGGGAAAGCAGTTAATAGGGGATCGGGGCGTTAATTCTTAAGACAACCGGCCAGATCGTCACACATTGACTCACACTAACGCGGATATTATGAGTTAATAATTTGGTAGATGGATAATAGTTGACACTTTTCTTGCCTATTCTGAGTAGCCTTACCAATTTTCAGGCGTATTATTGACTTTGGTAGCGCTGTGGATGATTTCACATTGAAGCACTTGTATGGGTCTATTGGGCCTTCAAGGTATCATATTTGCCGAATCTTTCTTTTCGGCTCTTTTTGCTTTTCACTGAATGACATCTAGGCACTCTGAACTTGTAGCGTACATTTACTTGTAAATCCTAGTCATAGAGTGGTGTTTTTTCTCTTGGGTGCGCCGTCTATAGTGTCATGTGACTATATGCCCGCCAACTAAAATCAAATATTGTCACCTGATATAGAATTTAGATTTCATTTCCAATCATGTTTGTATACCATCTGCATTATGCAGCTATTGACTGACGACACTACTGAGTTCTTTATATTATTGATGTTTATTTGCTCCCAGTAATCGATCATGGTGTGGTCGTCTTTGTAACCCTTGTCTATTATGTTGATATAAGATGAGGAGCATTGTTGATCTCTCCCTCCCTGTTTGCTGGCTGAGTGTTATAGTAGCATGTATATTTGAACTAAACAAACACTGTAATCAGTGGTTCCACCATCCACCCTAGTTGTCTGCCTATGCATATACGGCACTTAAAGTAATTTTAAATCGGTTGATCTAAAGGTTAAAAGGTTGGTATATCAAAAACAACAAGGATGACACATCACGGGACATGCAACCAAAATAAGACATTGCCACATGGAAAATGTATGGTTGTTTCAGTGTATCACTGATTAATCTTGTTCTTCAGTTATCCTGCTAGCGCCTAGCATTAGGTTACTAGTTGTCCATTTGATCCAAGCACTGGGATAACCAGTTGAGCATTACCATTTCCCTACTTTCATATGGGCTAATCACAGGGCTTCCAACAATCTCTCGAAGTATGGGCTGAACATGAATTCATTAGGGAAGTTTGTTGCCCAAATGATGGAATGTTTGTCTTCTACTTTTTGTGCTGAAAAATGTATACTTAAAAATCATATGATCTCTTTTGCTGCTCCTAGCCATTTTTTCTGTGATATATAGAGGAATTTCACCACCTTTTTATATTTTTACATTTTTTATATTTCTCATTTTTATTTCCTTTTTCTTTTTCACAGAGCTGAACAAACTTATGAATATACTCCACCTGAAGCTCTTTTGAATGCCAGTTGGTATCAAGGGCTGACTCTCACTACTATGAAGTATGTCAGGTTCTTGTTACTTCTGAATTTTAGTTTTGGTTATATGCCTGTTATTATGTTTCCACAGTTGTATAACATAAGTTGTGCATTCGTCATATAAGTCTTTTGAATATCTAATGTGTAATTTGGAACTGAATGACTCCTGAAGACAACCAGATTTTTATTCATCATTATGACTGGTATTCACTTAATGTAAATTCATTCATTAACTCAAGAAAATCAGCGCACCCAAGGGTGTGGCCTAGTGGTCAATGAAGTGGGTGAAAACCATGAGGTCTCAGGTTCAGATCCCAGTAGAGGCAAAAAACACTAGGTGATTTCTTCCCATCTATCCAAGCCTTGTTGCTGGAGGGAGGTGGCAGGTTTCCCGTGGAATTAGTCGAGGTGCGCGCAAACTGGCCCAGACACCACAGTTATCCCCCCCCCCCCCCCC